GGCTCGTTTTGCTTCGTAGGTATCTGGTGAAGGAGGGTCAGATTTTCATCCTCTACATTTTCACTTTCTTTGCCATGATGGCTTTAGTGATGCACCAGAAACGCAAAGGACTCGTCCTGGACAGCAACGGGCTTTTTCTCTTCTACTCCTTCATCATCACGCTGGTGCTCATTGCTGTTTGGGTGGGTTGGCTGTGGAATGACAAAATTCTCAGGAAGAAGTACCCTGGCGTGATCTACATCCCGGAGCCGTGGGCGTTTTACACCCTGCACATGAACAACCTCCACGCAGCAAAGGAAAATTTCTAAGTTTTGATATTTTAGAGTGATCTGAAGACCGAAAAAAAAAAAAGTCTAGTTTTTCTAATGTAGAAGTATTTCAAATAAATTCCTGAGCAACAGGGACTGTGGGATGTGTTGTGTGTTAACCAGGCCGAGCTAGGGAGGGGGTGTTCCAACAAAAGCCTAAAATAGTCTTCGTGATTTAACACTTTCAAGGCAAGGTCGTGGCCGGGCTGTCTCCCCTCCTTGCCTTCGCACTGGCCAGCCCTCGCGGTTCCACGCTGGGCTTTTTCGGGTGCTTGGGGGGACAGCCCCAAACCCATGGCACAGCGGAGCAGGGGCGCAGCGTCCCGGCCCCAGGGTGGTCCCCACCCGGGGTGACCCCCATCCCACCGCCCCGCAGAGCACCCTGGCCGTTACCGGGTGAGCTGTCCCACCTCGGGTCCGGACGGCAGCTCCGCTCGGCCATGCCCCCCCGGGGAGCCCTCCCGGGGTCCTGGCTGCCAGAGGCAGAAGGGCCAATTCCCCATGAATGCACCCCAAACCAGCACCGTGCGGGGGGGTTGAGCTGCAGCGTTGGCATGGGGTCCGTGCCACCAGCCGCTTCTGCTCCCACTCACCGTGTCTCCAGCTGAGCTCCTGCAACTCCAGCCGCATCCTGGCGATGCTTCAGGTCCATAAAATTTGCATTAAAGCCCTGTGTGATGGAATCCAAGCTGCAGAGGAAAAATGTTACTGGCGAAACGATGAATAAAAACGTTTGGTAGAAGCGGAGGGACTGGCGTTGCTTCCTGAAGCAGCTCTGCAGGGAGAATCCATCCCACGGGATGGAAGGACTCTGAACGGGCCACTGTAACGGGGCAGGGTCTACCCTGGGAAGGCTCTGGTCCGAGCCACAGCGGTCACTACGGCCACCAAAAATTTTGTTCTGGG